CCGGAGTGCGCATGGCATTCAGAGGATCCGTGGCAGGGGTCGCCGGCGGCCGGGGCCTGGCCGCAGGGGAGCCCGCTGGCACCCCCGCGCGCGCACACACACACACACGCACACACGCACATCTCAGGCCTGGGCCAGGTGGAGAAAGGAGGGGCGCAGCGTGCAAGCAAAAATTCCGAAACCTCAAGCACACTATGGGAATTGGGAATGGCAAAGATATGCACACACACACACACACACACACACACACACACACACACCATGGAGGCGAAGCCCGGAAGGCAGCTTATGTATGTGTTTATTTTTTCGGAAAGTATAGGTTCATATGCGGCCATTCGCCCGACCTGCCTTCCTTGCCCGGTAGAGCACGCGGCCGTAAGACCCACCCGCCGGACTAGGCACACACACGGGCTACCCCACGACGAGCCACCCAAATGGTGGCAAGGGTCAAGGCCAGCCGGGTCGGCAGGGTGGGAAGGATGCGCGCACCATGCGCTCCGGCCCACCAAACCCATGCATCATAAAGGAAGGTAGCCGGGAGCATGGCAGCCAGAAGCACCGACCAGGTGGTCATGCCCTTGGTTGAAAGGGCCGCTTGAGAGAGGACCACAAGCAGGAAGATCCCACCGAGGCCCAGGGTGCCGAGAGCCGCCCCGGTCGAGGCCCAGGCCGGTGCACAAACGGTGGCCGGTGTCGGAGCCGCGGGGAACGCCAACCGGTCATCGGTCCCACGCAGCTCCGACCCATGGCGCGGCAGGTGGCTCACATGCGGCAGGGCCGGGGCCTTGGCACTGGTGCCCGGCTTCTCGATGGCCGAAAAGCGCATACGCATCAACCCCAGCGGCCGACGAATCAGCTGGGGAACATCCAACTTCGGCGAAGACCCACCGGCCATGATGGTGAATTTGTAAAGACCATCACGGCCGAGGAAAAACTTGGAAGCCTGCTCAAGAGACTGCATGCGCGTGGTGATGGCGCGCAATCCAGCCGGCAAGGTTAGGCGAAGTGGCGAACAGGCAAGCAACGAGCAAGAAGTGAGTCACAAACGGACCATCTCCACCACAAAGACCTGGGTCCCGCGCACGGACTCCAGATGGCCAGCCAGAGCAATGTCCGCAAGCACCGGCATGTGGTCTGCCTCGGCACGGGACAGGGACTTGATATTGGGGTCCTCCGACACCAGGGCAAAGTGCACCGCGTTGTAGGTAACCGGAATGGGATTCCCCCGGCCAGCGGCGGTGGCAAACTCGATGCGGAAGCCAGTCGCGGCGCCGACTGGGGCGGAATTGGGGGCACTTCCATCGGCCTTTTCGGCTGTCGTCTTTGAGGCCAGTGCGGCGGCAGTATCTCCCTCAGCCGGGAGAATGAGGGGCTCGGAGAGGAAGAAATCCGGGTCGGAGAAACTGACCGGGCGAGGGACATAGAGGGGCAAAGGGTCAGGAGCTGGAAGGCCAGAAAGATTGCGAAAGGGCCAACAGGAGGGGGGCGTGAAAAGCGAGTGAAATGTGGAGAGAGGGAGAGGGAGATAGGCGAGGGGAGGTGGGGGGGGGGGGGGGAGAAAGAGGGAAAGAGAGAGAGGGAAAGAGAGAATGAAGGAGGGAGGGAGAGAGAGGGAGGGGGGGGGGGGGAAGGAGAATGGAAAGGGGGCCAGGAACACACAGCTTGACCGTCGGCGAATCGGGAGAGCCAGCAATCACCCGCACGGCGAAAAACTCCAACTCGGCAGACAGGACCACGGAGAGGAGGCAGGCCAGGAGCCCCACAAGGAGGAGCCCCCGGCGCAGGAGGGCCGAGCAAGCGGAAGGCATACCCTCTTATCACTGGCTCGAGGGAAGAGAGAGGGGAGGGAGGCGCGGAAAAGAAAAAGAGGTAGAGCTGGAGAAAGGTAATGCGGGGAAGGGGAGGGGGGATTTGACGTCAGACGGTTGTTTTTGGCAAGAGGCCAGGCAGCGGAAAAAGGCGCGGACCAAATCGATGGAGGCTGGGGGCCGGGAGGGGCGCGGGGGGGGGTGTTGTGTTGTTTTCTTTTTCTTTTTTTTTGTGGTTGGGGGGGGGTGTGTGTGGAGAACAAGTGATGTGGTGAAGGGAGTTTGAAAATAGCCCCTCTGGTCATGCGTTTTTTGTTTATCACGAGATCGCGATCAGATTTTGGTGTTTTGATTCCCTGTGGCCATGCCTGCGAGGCGTCCGAGGTCGACTTAACTTACATTCGTCCAATCGGCAGTTACGCGAGGCCTTCAGCATGCGGGGGTATACACACATGTGGGCGCACAAGTAGCTCGAACAAGAACCGCGACAATGGCACCCAGGACGAGAGAATTGAGGGAAGAAGAAGACAGGTAACAGCAACAAGGACAAGGGTAAATCTTCACTTTGAACAATCGGCCTGCTCATCCATGTCTATTGGTGGGGGGAGAAGGAACTGAAATCTATGACGAGAGCCTAGTTTCGCTTGTCCTCTTGGCCTTCCAGGTGTTGGGGATTATAGGGCCGTTGTAGCGTGAACTTTGGGAAGATTGAGAAAGTTCTGCGTGTTGTGGGGCCAAGAAAGAGGGAAAGAGGGGGTGAGAGAGAGAGAGAGAGAGAGAGAGAGAGAGGGAGAGGGAGGGAGGGACAGGGAGAAGGGGAGGAACACAGTTAGTTGGCGGGGAGAGAGAGAGAGAGAGAGAGAGAAACAACATTGAGCAATGTCGTGTCGATGACGCACCCATCAGCTTTAGCCCGAGCCAGCGACTCATAGAGACGATTGATGGCGGTCACACATCGATCGGAGATGAGCTGATCATCGTATGAGCTGCCAGCAGGATTGAGGCGTGGGCTCGATGGCAAGTTTTGAGCAGGCCGCAGGACGGGAGATTTGGCTGGCGGGGGATTGGGCGGGGAATGGGGAGGCAGAATCTCTCGCGCCGAGTCACCCTCTGACGGGGGGGGATTTGGTGTCGAGCGAGTATCCTTGGGGTCGGTGGCTCTCCCGGAAGTCCGAGACTGAAGACTCATCAAGGGACGCAGGGCACCCATGCCCATGGTTGGCGATGTCAGGGGCGATGAGCTCAAGGAGGGAGTCAAGCTATGGGAGTCGAGGCTGTCGCTGTCCGAGCAATCTGAGAGACGGATAAAGTCGTCTCCGCCACCATTGGCTGGAGGCTGGTCAATAGGGGGGACCAGTTCAGCAAGAATGGCGCTGGTGTTCGTGGGGGCGGCCGGCTGATCGGGTCCATGACGCCCAAGAACGGCTGGCGAATGGAGCAACGCGCAGTCATCGCGATTGGGGCAATACCGGCCATTGGACTTTTGCCAGTCGGGACAGTCCCATGTGTGGAGTTTGTCACAGTGCAGCCCTTTGGCGCAGAAACCTGGGGCCATCGGCACATTAGTCCATCCGTCTTGATTGAAGGAAAAATGGCACAAAGGACAGAGAGGGAGGGAGAGAGAGAGAGAGAGAGAGAGAGAGAAGGACAGAGAGAGGCATATTGAGTACCATTTTGGAAGGCCGGGCAGGTCGGGGCATTCGGATCAACACGGAGGTGCACAAAGCGACAGGGCCGGGGCCCCGGTTCGGGGGCCACTGGGAGGCTGTCATCTATCCCAAGCGGATACATGCCAAGGCCATGGTCTACGCAACGACCTCTCAAGTACTTCTGGCAGTGCGGGACCCGACAAGGGTCGAGATCATGCGAAAACCGACAGATCGGCGGGTCATCCGGTCTGGCTGGCAAATCAGAGCCTGGAGAAGAAACAAAGACGCATTGGTACTTTTTTCGTTTGCGGGGGAAAGACAGATGGTGAGTGCGGTTTCCCCGACCGGGAGGAGGAAGGCCAGTGACCGGGACCTCCCCAAAGTACCTTGAGGAAACGGTGGCACACGCGCACTTGCTCGAGGTGATGAGCAAAGTTGCACTTGTCCTTGAAGCGACAAAAGCCGGATCGGTGAAAGAAGGTGCAGAGGGTCTTCTTGTGCGAGCGCTTGGTAGCCTGTGTGGGGGCCGGCAGGGGACGCTTAGCTTTTGGAGGCTTTCTGAGGATCATGGACACGGAGGAGCTGGACTTGCTCTTGATATACTCGCTGGGAGCTGGGGCGACCACTGTATCGGTGGGAGTACCCGCGGCGGCGGCGGTGGTGCTGGCGGTGGTGCTGGCGGTGGTGCCGGCGGCTGCTGACGCTGCTGCCGCTGCTGCTGCTGCTGTTACTATTGTTGTTACTGTTGTTGCTGCTGCTGCTGCTGCTGCTGCTAGACTTGCCCTGGTGGGCGGGCGTTGAGCGAAAACCACCGACTTGGTTTTGGCATTCGGCTTGGTTTTCTTGAGCTTAGCTTTGGCCGCGGCGGCGGTACTGGCTCGCAGGGCAGTCTGGTTGATGTCTGGATTAATCCAGCGCATGTTTCGCTTGCCCATTGGATGGATGGAAGGTGAGCTGCTGGCTGCATGAGCAGGGGCATTGGGTTTGTGTGGGGCCGGATCCGGCGGCATCGCAAGAGCAGGACCGATCGAAGTCGCTACTGGGGGGTTGGCAGCGGTTGCCCCCGGCGCGGGTGGTGCATGCGCAGGATTGGCTGACCGGTGTCGATGATAACAGCGTCAGTGGGTGGTGAGCTCGTGGGAGTGGTTACTTTGGGGAGGTAATGGGCGAAGCCAGTCGAAAGGGGGTGGGGGGGTGGAGGGTGTTTATGTGTGCGTGTGCCTGTGCCGGTGCGTGTGTGTGTGTGTGTATGATGCCTGGAACGCACTGGCTTGGGATTTCTGGGCGACAGGCGATTCCGGTGTTGCTAGCTTAGACTTGGCTGACTTGCTGGGTGCTCTTTTAGTCGCGGGTGGCATGGAGAGGGAAAGGGCGAGCCGATGAAGGGAGCTTCAGAAGCAAGTGCCATGTAAATGGGCGGAGAGGGAGGGAGGGAGAGATGGGGGGAGGGGATCGAGCAAGATAGAGATAGGGGGGTGAAGGGGGGGGGGGGGGGGGTATTTCCAAAGTCTCAGAGGATGGACCTCTTAGCCCGAAGAAAATTGTAAGTGCTTTGGGAAGGGAGAAAGAGGAGAAAGGCGGACAAGAGAGAGGGCGAAAGAAAGGGAAAGAGAGCCCGATCGTGGCGCAGCCTTCCTCGCGGGGAGGACAACGACAAAGATCAACCTCCACAAGCTTGGAGCCGCAGGTCCTCGCGGGGGCGAATCACCAAGGTACCCACGGACCGCATGTTGATCGGATTCCCTCTCTCCTGGCTGCTCGAGCCACTGAACCGCACGGAACGTGTCTCCCGAGGATGGTAAACCCTTTTCCCGTGGATGAAGCGCTTGCCTAGCAGCAGCAACAGCAGCAGCAAGAGGGGGGCGGGGCAGGGGCGGACGACCCCCCCGACAACTCCGCGCTTCCTCAGGAGGAGCGGGTGGTCCTGTGACGTGGGGTACATCAGGACGCAGGTCCACTCGTGATCTTTCCGGGTCTGGGTGCATCGCGCTCCGTGGGGCCTACGTGAGCATACCGGAGGGCATTCTGCACCCCTTCCGTCCGGCCTCCCGTCCCCCGGTGTGTGTGTGTGTGTGTGTGTGTGTGTGTGTGTGTGTGCCCCCAAATTGTCTCAATGAGTTTTCCCCCATTTGCCGGGGTGCAAACAGGCCGCCCTCCAGGAAACGGCCAGGCCGCCCCGACCCGGGCCGCGGAGGGTCGGCCAGGGAGGAGAGAGACCCGGAGCTGGGGCGCTGGGATGCTGTTGGGTTGGAGGGGGGGGGGGGGGGGGGGGGGGGGGGGGGGGGGGGGGGGGGGGGGGGGGGGGGGGGGGGGGGGGGGGGGGGGGGGGGGGAAGAAATCCGGCTCGACCGAGGGGACGGGGGGGGGGGGGGGGGGAGGAACGACGGCGGGAAGTGTGCCCCGGCTTTTGAGCATGCTCAGGTTGCCGGGACACAGAAAGGGGACTATTGTGACAATAATAATGGGCCCCGATTTTTGCCTTGGCCTTGGGCGTCGGTGCAATGTGGCCACGCCGAGACGCATGCCTGGCCTAGGGCCCTCCAACCGGTCAAAGAGGGATCCTCCAGGCTGTCTCAGACGGTGTCCGCGGCCCCTGGCCCTGGCGCCTTTGGGCTCCCTCTCCCGCCCGAGGGTGGGGCGCGGGGGAAAACAAATAACAACAAGATGGGACGGCCCTGAGGGGGGGCGGGACAACTCGGGGGGGGCGCGGCACCCCGAGGGCCCGGGGGCGCGCGCCGAAGGGGGACCAGGGGGGGAGGGGGGGGGGGGGGGGGGTGGGGGGCGGGGGTGGGTGCAGCGGGCGGCGGAGGGGAGGGGGGTGCGGGGGAGAGACAAGGAAGGGGGGGGAGGGATTGGGGGCAGGGGTGGGTGGGGGGGGGGGGTGTGCTCGCGCGTGCGCGGCCGTGCTCGCGAAATCCCCCACCCCAACTCGGTCCCGGGTGACGAGGAGCCAGGGCGTCAGTCGGGTGTGGGCACCCTCTCAACGGACCTTCTTCCTGCACTGTGGTGGGTTTGGGAGAGTGTGCGAGAGGACCCGGGGCACATCTTCGGACCAAGCCCCGCCCGCCGACGACCCATACGCGTCCGCGTGCGGGCTTGGGGCCCGTACGGCATTGACAACCGGCAAATTGCAAACTCCCAAGGAGATACTGAAAAAGAGGCGCCGCCCGGGCCTCATCCCAGTTGTCAGGGCACCCCCCTTCTTTCCCCTCCCTCCCCCCCCCTCTCTCTCCCTCGCTCTCTCCCCCCTTCCCTCTCATCTCCCCCCTCCTCCCTGTCTCCCTTTCCCTCCCCCCTCCTTCTCCCCCTTTCCTCCGACCTTAGCTGCCTTCCTCCTCTCAACGAGAGGCCCACTTTTTCCGCGCCGAGGTTCGTCCGCTGTCGCGTCCTTCTCTGCGCCCTGGTCCCCGTCCCCGCCTTTTGTTTCGTTTCAATTCGCTCACTCCCGTCGACCTCCCATCTTCTTGAACATCACATACAGAGCATGTCGACCTTCGCCCGCAAGCTGGTCTCCAAGAAGAAGCGTCGCTTCGTCACCAAGGATGATGGCGGCTTTGACCTGGATTTGACCTGTACGACTACTTCCATTTGCTCTGCCGCCTTTCTCTTCTTGTCCCACCCACTCACCCCCTCGCCCACTTGCCGTAGATGTCACGCCCAACATCATTGCCATGGGCTTCCCCTCGGAAAGCTTCGAGGGTGTCTACCGCAATCCGATGTCCTCGGTCGTGCGTTTCCTCGACAGCCGCCATCCGGAGCGCTACCGCGTCTACAACCTGTACGTGACACCACCTCCCCGGGCCTCTGATCCTCCTCTCTCTATTGCATGTCCTCGACTGACACCGTCCGTGGTCTCCTCGCCTGACGGTCCCTTGTGGCAGCTGCTCCGAGCGTTGCTACGACCCATCCAAGTTCTACGGCCGCGGTATGCCCATTCATTTTCCCAGTCCCTTTCTTTCCCCCCTCTCCCCCACGTACCCCTGACTCGGTTCTCTCTCTCTCTCTCTCTCTCCTCCCCCCCCCCCCGCCCCTCGTGTGCCTGCTCTCAGTGGCACGCTTCCCCTTCGACGACCACAACGCCCCGATGCTCAGCCTGATCCCGGCCTTCTGCGAGGATGCGGCTTCTTGGCTGTCGCAGCATCCGGATAATGTGATCGCTGTCCACTGCAAGGCCGGCAAGGGTCGCACTGGCGTCATGATTTGCGCCTACTTGCTGTACTCGCGCCAGTGGCAGGTGGCCGCCGAGGCGCTGGCCTTCTATGGGGCCGCGCGCACGGAAAATGGCAAGGGTGTGACCATTCCGAGCCAGCAGCGGTACATCGACTATTTTGCCATGATGCTGTCCGAGCTCGAGGCTGCCGGGCATACGCTGCCCCTCATTTCGCTGGAGCGCCCGGCTCCGTTGTCGCCCACCAGCCTTGGGACCGTTGTGGCGGCCATCACTGATGGCCCGCTGCCGGTGGCCCCGCTGACCGTCCCGGCGCCATACCGCTATGTGCCGCGGACTCTGCTGCTGGAAAACATTGTCCTGGGAGATCTGCTCGTCGGGTCGTCCAGCTCTCTGCGTGCGTACACCTCCCACGGGGGTGGGGGTGGGTGGGGGAAACTCCGGATCCCTATCCACCTGTTCCGATTTTTGGGCCCTTTGTAAATGGCTCCCCGTGAGATGTGTGCTCTAACTTGCCATTCTCTTTGGCGCCCTGGTCAGATCCCTTCGCCGTGGTTTATTGCAATGAGCAGAAGATCGACACCACTGCCCCATTCACGGTGCGTGCCACCTCACTGCCCTTTGCCTTGGATTTGTGCCTTGCCCCCCGGCCGATTCTGACACGTGTTCTGTCTGCCCCCCCCCCCCCCGCCGCCGCCGCTTCTTCCTTCCCTTATCGATGGATCTCTCTCCATCGGTGATGCTTGCGACCCTCCTCCCGGTCTGCCCACCCGCCTTGCCTCTCCCCCTCTCTAGGTGACATCCACCTGCAAGAAGACCGTAAGTCTGACCCTGTCGCCACCTCTGCCGGTTTTCGGCGATGTGCGCGTTGAGTTCTTCACCAAGGACAAGTTCAAGAAGGTGTGCCCTGGTCCCTTTTCCCATTCGATCATCTCCCCATCCGCCCATGCACGCACGCACGCACATCCACAAGCATCGCTCTTCCGATCTTCTCCCCATCCGCCCATGCACGCACGCACGCACATCCACAAGCATCTTCCAGTTTCCATGCCCCTTACCGTCTCTCTAACCTTGCGGCACATCTCCGGGCGCCTGCAGTCGGAGAAGCTCTTCCACATGTGGTTCAATACCTTCTTCATCCCGGCTGACGGGGTTCTCTCGGTGCCCAAGTCCGGGATTGACAAGGCCTGCAAAGACAAAAAGGTGCGCGGGACCTCGTGTGCCCCCTCTTCTCCTCTGCCCGGTGGGACCGCCGGCAGATTTGCCTGCTCATGCCCATGCGTCGCGACTAACTCTCTGGTCCTGCCTCTGGTCCCCCCTCCCGCCTCCTTGGTCCCCCACTACCAACAGCATGCCGTTTACAGCGAGAACCTTTCCATCAAAATCAGCCTGTCGGTGCCGGTTGGGTCGGAGGACGTTTCGATTTGGTCGGCCCCGACGACGGCTGCTGCCACCGCCAGCAGCCCAGCCTCGCCTGTGGCGGCGGCACCGGTATTCGTCGCTCATGAGACCGCCACCGCCGGGTGCGTCGATGCCGCCTTCCTTTCCCCTCGCTGCCTCATCGGGCTTTTTCTTTTTCTTCTGCCATGCAGCTGGCACGTGCCGGGGGGAGCAAGCTGCCGAAACTCACCACCGCCAATTGCCTCCTGTGCCTTTGACTATGTGATGTGGCGCGTCGGCGCGCAGTGCCGAGACCGGGGTGGCTGACGAGTGCACCCCTGTGACCGCCGTGGAGGAGGAGGAAACCCCCGTGGCTGCGGTCGAGAAGTCGCCTTCCGTGACCGAAGAGGCGCTCGATGAGGAGACGGCCGAGGAGGTGGAGCCGCAGCAGCAGGCGCCACCCCCTCAGGAGGTCGCCACTGTCAGCGAGCCCCATGAGCCGGAGGAGGAGGAGGAGCAGGAGCCGGAGCCGGAGGAGGAGTCTGCCTCCTCGCCTGTTGCCCAGCTCCCTTCCGAGGAGGCCGTGACGGAGGAGGCCCCGGCCATTGACTCGGATGCGCACGAAACTCCGGGCGAGGAGGATGAGTCCACTGCCCCGTCGTGTGATGTGTCGGTGGCCGATGGGTCGCCTGCTTCGCTGGATGAGGCTACGGAGGAGTCCGAGGGTGCCGGTCCCGAGCCCGGCAGCCCGGTGGGCAGCACTCTGTCGGTGTCGACGACTGGCAGTGTGGCCGGCTGTGGGGCGGCCAGTGGGCCCACTGGGCATGCTACCGAGGCTGTCAGCTCTCCGGCCACGGTCCGGCCGGCTGTGGTGTCTGCTGCGCCCGTGGCCGCTGCGCCGATCATCCCCCTGGGGGATAGCTCATCAGACAGCTTGTCGGAGGATACCGATAGTTCGGACGACGATGACACCGACAGCAGCTACGACGACGACGACGACGACGACGACGACGACGACAGCGACGACGATGTCAGCGATGATAGCGACAGTGATTGAGCGGCAACATGTCTTTGCACAAGCCTCATCTCTGCCTCCTTTCTTCCCCACCTGTCCTTGTCCTTTTCCCTCCTTCTCCTCCCTCTGCCTCTTTTGTGTGTGTGTGTGTGTGTCTGTACGTGCGTGCACGCGCGCGTGCGCGCGCCGCCCCACCTGCGGTTTTGCGCTGGCGTCCTCCATTATTTTATCCCCCCATCCTGTTGTCTCCCTTTCCCGCTTTGTATATTCCGTTCCCCCTGCAGGCGGCTCTTCCTCCATGATAAACCATCCAACCACTTTTCCTGCTTTCTGTTCTGATTCCTTTCGAGGTCCTGCGTGTGTGTGTGTGTGTGTGTGTGTGTGTGTGTGTGTGTGTGTGTGTGTGTGCGCGCGCGACGTGGGAGGCAACGCCCACCCTCGCCTCATTGTATCCTCGTCGGGGGGGGGGGCGCCGTCACCGAGTACCTGGTCGAGGATCTCATGGGATTCGTCAGGCCCCATGCCGCGGGCCAGGACACATGACCTACCTACACTTCGCAATGCGATTACACGGAATGGCGTTTGTTTCTCGGATCGCCGCCCGCTCACATTGTGAAAGTCCCCAACTCAGCACGCCGCTCGGTGCGTGGCTCCTCGGGAGAGACCCCCCCCCCGTGTGTCCTTGCCCCGCTCGCCGGCCGGGTGCACTCCCCAGGCGGGTCCAGCGAAGAGTGCATCGACCGGTATCGAAACCCGGGGACAGTGGGGGCCAGACCGAGCGGGGGCCCGCAGGGCGAGTAGGCAGTGGAAGCGATGCCGGCGGGGGG